TCCTCTAAATAGTTAATACAACACTAGTAACAGACATTTTTCATACTTTTCTTACATACAAATGGGAGCATATTATACACAATGGTTTGCATCTTGCCTTTTTAAAAACTTCAATGTATCTTGGAGATATTTCCTAATCAGTACATAAAAAGGTTTCTCAGACTTTTTGACAGCTGTGTAATAATATTCCATCACATGGATGTACCAGTTAATCCACTACTGATGGAACTTGACTATTTTTCACCTTTTGATTATTAAAACAACACTGCAATGGCTAAACTTGCATAGGGAACTTTGGGCCTGTGCGAATTGTGTATGTCTGACGGAATTCCTACAGGGGAATTGCTGAGTCAGAGTACATGAATGTGTAGTATTGACAGAACTTATCAAATTTCTCCCCAAAGTGGTATATCAATTTCCACTCCTGCCAGTGGTATATGAGCATCCCCACATCAAACTCTTTGTGCTCATCAAATAGGTGAAATATGGTATCTTGCTATAGTTTCAATTTGTACCTCTACTGAAGGAGACTGACCCTTTCTGTGTTTAAATATAAATTTATAGATTGTATAAATATGTACATTTCGTTTTCCTTTCTCTCAATTGCCAGGACTATACATCCAGGCAGATGTCCAGCTGCATGCTATTGTTTTTCATTTTCATTCAAAACCATTTTCTAAGGCCAGCCTTTTTTTATGGGTCTTCCCAAGTTCAGCAGAGGAGGCTGTCACATAATGCTGTAGGCTATGAATTCAGGAAGGAGACTATGACTTCTGACTCTATCACAGATGCTGTGAGACTTTTGATTAGCTATTGGACTTCTCCAAGATTTAAATTATGTATCTGTAAAATGGAGTAAAGATACTTCTCTCGTAAGGCTGCTCTGAGGATTAAGTGAACATATATACAGGAATGGGCAAAAGTAGGTTTCCAGTTGTTTCTATAGAAAATAATACAATAAATAAATAATAATACAAAAACAAACTCGTGATTCACATACTCACAACCGTAAATCTACTTTTGCTAACCCCTGTATTTAAAGCCCCAAGCATAGAGCTGGGGTCTGATTAGGGCTGAAATAAAGAGTGGTTTAGCTTTTGTCATCACTAATCTGGTCAGAAAAAAACCCCACCTGACTAAAGCAACACTTGTTTCACTGCTTAGGGATACTTCCAATTAAATATGCCCAGGGGTTAGACACTGAGGGATAGTCCTGCTGGAACTGTACCTGGCCATCCACTACTGCCAACTACATAAATATTGAGTTATTTCTGGTTGCAAAACTTCAATCTGTTTCTCTATCAACATCCAGCTATCTTGTGTAAGGATCTCCACTCCCTTGGAATGCTGATTCCTGAAAGGATGTGCTTTCCCGCCTCCATCTATATGACTTGCTGAGCCTGCAGAGTCCAGGAGGAGCAGGAGGGATGGAGGGAAAGCTTCCACTCACCTGCTGGCACAGTTACTATCACATCACCCCCGGAACTGGCTTGGCAAAGGATGCAAATGAAACCATGCTCAGAGAAAAGTTAATAATGTGAGAAGGCATTTTGAAAGCCCAATTAGAGTTCTCATACAATATTTGACAGTCATGAAACAGTAAGTGTGTTCTGAACCAAACAAGTCACCCTCCCCGCCACCCCCCCAAAACATGCTTGGCTTATGATGAGCTCATCTTGAGAAAAGACATGCACATATTTATCTCCATTAACTATGACCTCTTTGAGGACAGTTCTGGTCAGTCATTCCTCTTTGTGTCCCCACTGCTTAGCACCATACTTGACACATAGCAACCACTCAAATTAATGGACCAAAAAGACTCAAAATAAATATGACTTCTTTAACTTTCATTTCATACTGATCTTCTTTGCAGGAGACAGCTCAGATCATTTTCCTGAGTTTAACTTTACATCAATACAGCTGTGGTGTTTTCTTGCCACCACAGCTGTATTAGCATTTCTGCATATCTGGGCTTCAGTGTAATTCATCAGAATTCTAGTTAGGAAATATTTTATCTTGAGGGAATATTATTTTCCTCTTACTTTACAAAATTTGCTATTACCTTTTTAAATGAAGAACCCCCCCCCCCAATGTTATCATTGTTTCAATTCAGTTAGAAGTTCTGATTACATAAATTTATTGCAGGCCAATCTGAGGCACATGGGCAACTCTAACACACTTAGTGAACAACTGAGTTAGTTTTCAAGGAATGCCATCAGCGAGAAACAGAATCCTCAAATTAGCCATCTGGCATAAAACCTCCTAAACCCAAAAGAAAGATATTTCACCTGAAAAAAACAAACAAAACACTACAGTTTCAACACTCTAAAACAGTCTATGTTTCTACTCTGCTGCCAAGAGTAGGTTCTGTGCTTTCCATTAACCTGGGAGCTCAAGCTTCCCAGAAAAAACACACCACTGAGGACTTCTAGAATTTTCTAGTCACCTTTAATTACCACAGGCATAAACTGTGGTCCTTCAACACCACACAGGTATCTCCTATTTAACTAAACTAGTTACTGATTATCTTCTATAATGCTTTCAAATAGATGAAAACAGAGTTACCATGAAAATGCAGAGAACAAAGCTCCCTTTCCTCATATACCTGAAGCTGTGGTCGACACTGGTTGGTACTTGAACTTGAGGGCCAACAGATCTCACGCATCGGGGGCACTACTGACCATTTTTATGAGAGTATCTCCTACATAACAAGCCATTAGCCTCCTGGCTTCACCCATTTAACACCCCCAGCTATGGTGACAAGCAAAAATTCTCTGAACTTTAAATTGAGAGGCAAACACTGTATGGAGACACTTTAAGATCCTCCAGGTTTCTAAATGCTCAAGGATGGGGTGTGTACTACCCCTGGCTGAAAACCACTAATAAGTGCTTTAATGCTCCATCATCAAAGAGATTCACTCTTCACCTGACCTAGGTAAAGGAGACACCAGGATAAATATCACACAGCCCCTGTCTTTGAGTCTAGTGATGCTCTTACCTTCTATCAACAGCACTATATTGGTACGCTTAAAGGAACAGCCCAAAGGAATATATCTGAAATGGGCTACATTGTCACCCACCCTTGAGCAAGGCAAAGACAGGTCCAAGTGGCTTAGATATTACTGTGTTTTGAATGCGCTCAGAAGGGTGGTGGGCAGGATGGTGTGAGAAGAGAACCAGAGCCCTGGAGTCCTTTAGAGAAACCTAAGTTCCAGCCACACGCCTGAGCCTTACTCCTCTCAGAATCTGGGGTAAATCACTCTGTTAGAGACCTTTACAATCCAGCTTCAACCTAACTTTCTTACCGCCTCTTTCACTCTGTCCACTAACGTATACAGCCCCCTACAGATTGTAACCACCTGCATGTCCTTGCTCAGCCTAGACCACCTGTTCCCAGTTTATCTTTATCTTCCTGGCCAAATTATCTACCTATAGAAACACCACTAATGCCTTGAAGGTTCCATTAAAAACACCTCCACCATGAAGCCCTCCATGTTCTCCCCTATCACTTCTAATGAGTCTGTTCCTTGTGTGCCATAAACTAGGCTAAACATTACAGCAGTGATTCTCAAACTGGGAGCCACAGAGCTCAAATTTCTCAAGTTTCCTATGTAAAACTTCAATTGCAGTTTTCATAGTTATACTGGGGTGGGCAAAAGTAGGTTTATAGTCGTATGCGAAACTGAGCATTCATGCTTGTATTACTATTTATTAATTATTGTATTATTTTCCACATTAACTGTAAACCTACTTTTACAACCTCCGTATAATCTAAAATAAATGAATATAAGCACTTTCTGGATCTGGTCAACCACCCAAGATATAAGTGCTGACAAGCAACTGGACTGCCCACACCTGAATCTGCATATAAAACAGTGTCCATGCCAACAGGCTTCTTTAATTGCTGAAGGTTAATGAGATTATAGCAGCAGCAAGCTCAATACATAAATGATGTGTTCATACCACGGGAAGTGCAAGTAACTTACAGCACACCCTAGAAGCTTTGCATCCCTACCCCGCCAAGCACTGCACTTCTGCTGAATGGGCGGGCCCCTCTGCATCTAAAATCACCCGCACAGAAGGTAAACCTGGCTCCCATTAAGACTAAAAGTTTTTACTGCCTCTTAACGGAAACAGCCAAAATACCCTTTCAGTTTGAAATAAGATCACAGTGACAAATCCCAATTCTGTTTCCAATCTTGTTAACACCAGGGTGTTGTGTTACTGGGACATTTGGTACCTCTAAGCATTTCCATTTGTTTCATTAAACTTTCAATAAAGGCTTTGTTTGTGTTTATATCCTTGAAAAGAAAGATTTAAGTTCATTTAAAAGGTAAAACGCCCACACAAAGGGGATATCTGCTATCCCCGTAACATCTGGCAAACTCTAAAAGATGAAGACAAAATTAGTGTTCGTATCAGCAACAATGAAAATTTTCATTGTCAAAGGCCACAGTCTGAGCCTTTCTGGAGCTAATGAGAATAGAGAAGTGGTAAGGAGACCAGAGACTCTTTGGTAGAGTGGTTAGCTCCAGGGACGAGATTAGACTGGAGAAGTGCCCCAAAGCCAAAATTGGGCAGAAAGGCAGGGAGGCCGGGTTTCAGGCCAATTCTGACATGAACCTGAAATCGGCCTGCCTATCCCTTCCTAACAGGACTCAGGTTTCCCAAGTCCACTTGGGATTCCTTTTACACGAGGCTTCCACATTCCCCAAGATTGTTAGTGGGGTCACAGCCACGGCAGGCACCACAGGCCGGCTGCCCGAACTCGCAGATCTGACATTCTGGCCGAGCCTGGTCAGGCTTCAAAACTATTTTTAACTACTGTGTAACTTTGAATTTTAAGTTCTCCATGAACAGTCAGGGTAACAGGAGCTGAAACTTCCCAGGAGAAATCTACGAATGGAGCAGGCGCTTTCTTGGAAAGATGTGGAATTTTATCAACAGCTGGTCATAAGGTAAATGTTCCACCAGAAGGGGAACTGGAACCCAGAACCGACCAGAATCGAGTCACCAAACCGCTGGAATGGAAGCAGCTCAGTCCCAGCTACAGTTCTGTCTCCTCTGAAGCCCTCGAGGGAAGTCTTTAAAACCCGAAGTAAACAGCTTTCTGGGCCCGTCCTTCTCATCACAGGGGTTAGTCACACACTCTCCCAGCGCAGCCTGGGGAGGGAGAAGTGGAAGCCCCGCTTCTCACCGACCCTTGAAACGCGAGGCTGTGTGCGCCTCAGGGCAGGGAAGGGGCTCGCCCGCGGTTAGTTTGTTTTTCCAGGGAGGCGCGTCAAAACCACCGCAACCCCCAAAACAAACGCGCGCGCACACACGCGACGACTTTATGGCGGGTGGAGAAAGGAGAAAAGCCAACTGAGGAGGGACCCGGCTTCATTCCCGAAGCCCCGGCGGCTGGAGGCCGGCCTCTGGAATCGGGGGAAGGGACACGTTTCCGAAGAGAGACGGGAAGGAAAGGCGGGCGGCAGCGTTGAAAAAGCCCAGGCAGTGGAAACTCAAACGAGCGGCGTTTTTATATTTTGATGGAGTCTTGGGAACTCAGTTATCATACTTTTTTTTTTTTTTTAAATCGTT